GACAATGGGGGGGGGGGGGGTAGAGATAGAGGTGGAGCTGAGTGCGAGGGGACAGTCCAAGTGTGTTAGACAATGGGGGGGAGAGAGAGGGGGGGTAGAGATAGAGGTGGAGCTGAGTGCGAGGGCACAGTCCAAGTGTGTTAGACAATGGGGGGGAGAGAGAGGGGGGTAGAGATAGAGGTGGAGCTGAGTGCGAGGGGACAGTCCAAGTGTGTTAGACAATGGGGGGAGAGAGGGGGGTATAGATAGAGGTGGGGCTGAGTGCGAGGGGGCCATTGCGATGCCAGATCAGTGACATCGCAAACTCGCTCACTTTCTGCACCCATGCACCCATGCACCCCACCTCCACAATACAAATTCCTACCTAAAACATTGACACATGTTCGGGGTGTAAGAAGGATGCAGCACTTTACTTGTCGCTCTCTTCTCTCACTGTCGGAGCAAAGTCGCCTCGGCTCCGCGCCTGCATCTCGGTGTTCGGGAAGCCGTGGTGTGGTGGCCTCGACACGGAACGTCGAAAGACGTCGCAATGTTGTACACTGAACACGCGCCTGATCTTTACATACTTGCGCGAGATCATTTTGCTCGCGCGATACGCCATCGCGGTGCTGTGCTTGGTAGAGATTTAAGGATTAACGATGAGAGATGCTGCACTATAATTGGCCGGTGATCAAGACGAAGCATCGGTAGGGGCAGCCAAATAAGTGAATGCACCGCGGTGGACGTCCACCCTGGAGATGGAGCGCTCGAATTTCGGCTCGGGCGCAGACGAAATATGAACTTTTACGTCGCAGGATCGTGAGAGTCGCTGACTGCCAGGGAAGACATGCATCCAGCAGTGGATCGATCATGGGCGATGATAATAATCATAAGAGATACATGCTTGGAATTACGTGGAGATACAGAAATAGTATGACATGGATCAAAGGAATAAACACAAAGCAGATATCGCAGTGATTCCACAAAGATCAAATGATCATCTTTATTTATACTTGAAGAATCCGATGAGCTATGAAGCTCTTTTTCACAGACGTCCAGTAGGGGTGGATCATAAATTGATAACGACAAACAGAAAACCCGATAGGAGTGCCAAGGAATGAAAAGGTAAACAACCCACTAAAAAAGAGATAAGAGGGCTTCGGCAGGACACACCACTGCGTGATGGGCAACAGACGAGGCTGGATAAAGAACGGCAGCCAAAGGAGGGAACGTGCCAGGCGAGACGAACACCGCGGCGATGGCGCAAAGGGATCGGTCCCTGTGCAGAGATGGGCCGTGGCATCGCAGCACCGGGAAAGATGGCAACAGCCTTCATCCAGCAGTCGATAGACAATGACTAACGACGATCCCAGCCAACGTAGAGGGGTCAGCTCGCTAATGGAACAATCTCCCACGGGGACGATAACATCGCAACAATACTGCGCATTAACGTGACGCCGGCTGACAAGGCTGTTCAACGTTAACCGGCGGCACCAACAAGACGATACGCAATGCATGATGAGTGCACAGCAGCAAGCGGCAACTGTCACACTCTGTGGCTGAAGAAGGGTGAGTCACGACACGAGACGTAAGGTTGCTTGCTGCTCGTGGCGTCTGAGCCGCCGCGCGTGGATGCGCCTTGAACTTCTTTCGCACCGTACGTGGCCAACCGTGCACATGGGGAGGTGTGGTGACGCGAGATTGCGCGCCTCGCCACGCAGTGAGCACGGAGAAGACCACCCGTGCCGGCACGCTTGTGTGCGCTGACCCTGCTCGCAAGCGGGCATTGACTAACCACTGCAGTGACTAAACCACAGCAGTGACTAATGGACAGGCTCGTAATAAACGCACAAGTCTTGCTGTGAGCGGGTCGGTGGGAACACGACACGAGACGTAAGATTGCCCACAGAAAGTTTCACTTGTCGCAGCGCTTCGAGTGTGTGTTGTATACGCGACTGGCATGCATCACGCACGTGCTGTGACGCAACTGCCACTGCACTTTGACCCTCCCCACCAACGCCGAAGTTTGAGTCCTGGCCAGGGCTAACGTCAGTGGAGAGTGCCCGTCGCAACCCATTTTTACTATTCAATGCACGCATTGGCAAAGCGTGGTGAGGTCAGATAGCCAGCACAGCTGATACGGCTCGTTTGACAACTGATACGGCTCGTTTGACAATAACTGGCACGGCCCTTCACCCAGTCATGTGTTGTGGACGAGGCGCTGTGAATTAATTATTGTTATTATAAATGTCGTCTTTATCTACTGCAGTGAGTGACAAGACTCGAACGAATATATTCTCACCGGCTTGCTCTTATCAAAGGTGTTTATTCAACCGTTTGTTAACGTTACAGTCGCGGAGGCGACTGGTTTGTACTTTGCGAAGTTACTCGCGAGACATTTAGAGTACGTTTTACGGCTTGCTAAATACAGTGCTGTGATGCAACCGAATACGTTGAGGAGGTAATCGCAGAGAATAATCATCCAGCAAGCCTTCGATATTCAATGAATACGTTGTAAGTGTTCTTCAACGGTGCTACCGCCATAAGTTACTCAACGGGCACAGTGTGTACTCTTGGTACTCCATCAGCAAGCCACTTGATGTGTTTATCAATTTTGGGAAGGTTAATTTTTTTTCTCAGAAACCTTCTATATTATATAGACTCACGGTACAGTATTTACTTATAGATAATCGGCGTGTTAATTATTACATATGATTAGTGCTATCCAAAGTTGTACGAGTAACAAGGACATGCTGTTATGAGGACAAACAGGTACAAGAGTTTCACAATCCGATGAGTACTGGAGGTAACACACATATAAAATGTTGGTCATGAGCCAATTATGGAAATTCCTCATTGCTATTGCGAGACCCATAATTTCCTTAATAAAACTGATAACTGTCCATCATACTATACATGCGGTGCAATTTCACAAGATAATGGGTCATTTTACAAATCCCAAAGAAGATCGGATGATGATAGTGGTGATGATGACAGAAATGAATTGGACCCTATCCGGGAATTGGACCCTATCCGGGGATTGAACCCATGAGATTATTACTTGCAAGGTCTCCAAGTATTCCAAACGAGCTACATCCCAAGCCTCTATGTACGGTAATCAACGCGGCGCTTCATCACTCCAGACCGGCAAGACGAGTAACACCAGCTGAGGCACTGCATGATGGGAACAAAGCAACAGTGACTGCGCTAAGAATAGACTTGTCCCTACCATGGCAATGTGGAATTTTCACCATTGCCTCAGAGCAACAGATGGCACGCCAGTCAATGATCAGTTTAGCACTGGAGCCCTGGAATTGTTTTTATTAATGTACTACGGGACATATATCACGTTATACTGACTGTATAGCTTTAATAGAAAGTCAAACATATTTGTTGACTCATCAAAATACTTTGCGCATTGCATGTGGGCCGCAGTATAGACACCACGCAAATGCCTCCGCACACGATGAACCACGTACAGCAAAGCTGAATACTAACCACGACACAACACTGCATTGTAACCATGCATACGCGACACTTGACACATTCGTGCCGTGATGGTGATATTGTAAGAACGTCACATCCAATAAGGTGGGATGCGGTGCGGTGGTGCCAATGGAGCCACGTGTGTGTCACTTAAATATAGTCACGTGTGTGTCACTTATATATAGTCACGTGTGTGTCACTTAAATATAGTCACGTGTGTGTCACCTAAATATAGTCACGTGTGTGTCACTTATATATAGTCACGTGTGTGTCACCTAAATATAGTCACGTGTGTGTCACTTATATATAGTCACGTGTGTGTCACCTAAATATAGTCACGTGTGTGTCACCTAAATAGTCACGTGTGTGTCACCTAAATATAGTCACGTGTGCGTCACCTAAATATAGTCACGTGTGTGTCACTTAAATATAGTCACGTGTGTGTCACTTATATATAGTCACGTGTGTGTCACTTAAATATAGTCACGTGTGTGTGACTTAAATATAGTCACGTGTGTGTCACTTAAATAGTCACGTGTGTGTCACTTAAATCTAGTCACGTGTGTGTCACTTAAATATAGTCACGTGTGTGTTACTTACATATAGTCACGTGTGTGTCACTTAAATATAGTCACGTGTGTCACTTATATATAGTCACGTGTGTGTCACTTAAATATAGCCACGTGTGTGTCACTTAAATATAGTCACGTGTCACTTAAATATAGTCACGTGTGTGTCACTTATATATAGTCACGTGTGTGTCACTTATACATAGTCACGTGTGTGTCACTTAAATATAGTCACGTGTGTGTTACTTATATATAGTCACGTGTGTGTCACTTATATATAGTCACGTGTGTGTCACTTATATATAGTCACGTGTGTGTCACTTAAATATAGTCACGTGTGTGTTACTTATATATAGTCACGTGTGTGTCACTTATATATAGTCACGTGTGTGTCACTTATATATAGTCACGTGTGTGTCACTTACATATAGTCACGTGTGTGTCACCTAAATATAGTCACGTGTGTGTCACTTAAATATAGTCACGTGTGTGTCACCTAAATATAGTCACGTGTGTGTCACCTAAATATAGTCACGTGTGTGTCACTTAAATATAGTCACGTGTGTGTCACTTATATATAGTCACGTGTGACTTAAATATAGTCACGTGTGTGTCACGTATGCAGCCAGGTGTGTCACTTAAGGAGAGAGCCATACATTTGCCACTTATAGAACCAGGTGTGTCACTACAAGAGAAACACAGGTGTGTGTGTGTGTGTTACGTAAAACGAGAGCCGGGTGTGTGTGTCACTTAAGGAGATATTAGGCCAGATGAAGTGGAAAGTCAGGGGTGTCAAGTAAAGAGCCAGGTGTGTGTACATTTAAAGAGCCAGGTATTTGTCATTTTAGAAAGCAGGTGTATGTGTGTCGAGTAAATACAGAGCCAAGTGTGGTGTGACTTCGGAAAGAGCTACTAGGTGCGTCACTTAACGAGGTAGGTGTGGGTGTCACGGGCGTCGCCACTCACCTCTTCCCATTTCAGGAACTTGTTTCCCTTCTTCAGGTCTTCTGACACTTGGATGGGCTTGAGCTGCAGAGAATGCACGCCGGGCTGTGCGCCTGCCATCTCCTGCTCTCAACTCCCCAAGCTCGTCTTGCCCCCGCCGCGATTAACAAAACTTAAAAAAAAACCCCAGAAACAAATACTGGCACCACACAAACACAACTAACACACGCGCCGGCAGATGGCAACTCTGACAGCAGCGACCACAAGTGAGTGACACTCACGAACTCACTCACACGGCCTCGCCGCCAGCCCCAGCTGATGATATCCAACGCAACAAAACGATTATTGCAACTTTAACTCTCGTCTTCCCTTCCCGTCCTCGGTCTGTCTCGCCCTTGTCTTTCTCTCTCTCTCTGTGTACGCCTCCTACTTCAGACTATGTCCGTGCGTCTTCCCTCTCCCCTGTTCGCTTCAGTGTCCCGCCTTGACGCGTGTGTCTGTGTGTGTGCCTGTGTGTGTGTGCCTGTGTGTGTGTATGCCTGTGTGTGTGTGTGCGACGCTTGTCCGGACTCTTTGGATGGAACTTGAAAAGTCGGGCGGTGACTTCCTCGGCGAGGGAGCCACAAGGCGGCTTCCTTCGTCTAGCAGCGCCACCCACTAAAACCACACACACCACCTCCTCCTCCTCCACCCCCTAATCCCTCCTCCACGCCACCACCCTCCATCCTCCCCCCTCTCTCGCCGACTCTCTCCTCGCTCCTTGCCGTTGTCCGTTCCAACCCCATTCGCCACGCGCCCTCTGGTGCCGGCGATGAGAAAAGTTGCCCGTCGCGATGGGATTCCTCTCTGGTCGGCAGCCGTCTGTTGGGAGAGGATTATGAATTGCTCAGAAAGGAAGTGACCACAGACCAACTATATTTTTTCACAAACATAGTAAAGTATAGAACTAGGGGGGAGTAACTCGAACTTTGTAATCAAACAATGACTTATTTGTATTCCGATAACTTGAGCAGCAAGCCCATTTTCCAACAAAATCGAGTGTCGTTCTTTACAGTAGCTTCCTAAGTGGATGTCATCCATCACTTGTAGATAATGTTCACTTAAAAGTTATTGAATGCGTTAACTCGACGCAATATCAGGTGGGGTATACCCATTCTATCCTGTTCACAAACAAGAATGTGGTGTTTGAAGGACGAATGCATTTTCATCCATCCTCATTGACATTCCACTTTACTTTTCTATAAATAAACGAAACTTGCTCGATATTTTTTTGTAAGAAAGTGAAAACCCGATAACAGCTCTGTGCTAGACAGAGCAACTGTTGCTTCAGACGTACCATCGGCTGCCCACAGATGGGTCGTGACCTGTGGAATTCTGATTATGATCTATGGCAGATTAGTCATCATCTGTTGCCGATGGGGTATGATCTTTGGCAGATGCGTCCATGATCAATGCCAGGCAGAGCAATGATTTGCAGCGAGTCAAGGAAGGTGGACATATTTCACCCACCCACAGGCTCGATACCAGCTCATCTGGGATGGGGGGGGTATTAGTGCTGTTTTGTGTGTGTGGGGGGATATCAACGGGCTTTACCTGATCAAATTAAACAAAGTGTATTTGTGTTGTTATGTGATTTGCTTACCTTTCCTATACTTTGCACTTCTATCGTGTGCGTTGTATTGTCTGTTGTTGTAACGTTCTGACCCGCCCCAACTGGTCATCTGTGAAAAAGAGCTTTAAAGCTCATCGGATTCCTCCAATGTAAATATTCTAATTCTGTGATACACGCGCGAAGGAGAGTGAACTTGCGTGGCCAAATGGCCGATCCCAGGGCCCCCTTCTGCTAGCCCTGCCCACCAGGCACAGGGCTGTTAACGTCCAATAGGTCATCGTATACAGAGCTGTTATCATATGTATGTATGGATCACTCGCCCCTGCCATTGGAATGTGGACTTTCCACCGGGGAGTAAGAATTGTGAGCCTGAAATGAGTGCTGTTCCCTCACTCTTTTCAGTTTGAGTGAAATATGATTTTTTTTTCAGAAAAGTGGCGACTTGCATCTTACACAGTTACTGAGCAGAGGTGAGATTTTTACCCTGAAAACAATCCTCTGCAATCTGCCAACTTGTCTGCAAGCATAACTAAGGACTAGGCTGTCGAGAAGCGTGGAGAGCTGCATGCAATTACATAGACAGAAAGAGAGGAGCCCATGGACGAGAGAACACCCGCAGGATAAACACACAACTCGAACTTTTAGAGACGGCAAGTGTGCCGAGCCAGAAGCCGTCAATGGAGAGGACAACGTCCGATGGCGAATAATTATTACTAACTATTATTACTAACTATTATTACTAACAATTATTACTATTATTACTAACTATTATTACTAACTATTATTACTATTATTACTAACTATTATTACTATTATTACTAACTATTATTACTAACTATTATTACTAACCATTATTACTAACTATTATTACTAACTATTATTACTAACCATTATTACTAACTATTATTACTATTATTACTAACTATTAGTACTAACTATTATTACTAACTACTATTACTAACTATCATTACTAGCTAGTATTACTATTATTACTAACTATTATTACTATTCTTACTAACTATTATTACTAACTATTCTTACTATTATTACTAACTATTATACTATTATTACTAACTATTATTACTATTATTACTAACTATTATTACTATTATTACTAATTATTATTACTATTATTACTAACTATTATTACTATTATTAATAACTATTATTACTATTATTACTAACTATTATTACTATTATTACTATTATTACTAACTATTATTACTATTATTACTAACTATTATTACTAACTATTATTACTAACTATTATTACTAACTATTATTACTAACTATTATTACTAACTATGCTTAGCAGCCCGTGAATGTGCCGCGTCCGAGATGACGTCCGCCGAGGGTGTGGGAGTGGTGGGGGGGATGATTGTGTCACAGGGTCGTGAGATCGTGACGGCTTGGGTGAAGCTTCATCCAGCTGTGGATTGATCATGGCTGATGAGGTCATTACAGAAGTCCATTGCCCGGGTAGTGCACTGAAATCTTTTAGACTTGTACAGTTTTAATATAATGGGGCGTAGAAGCAAATGCTGCCGGATTTAGTGGCACACAGACACACACAGACTTGTCATCCAGTGTTCTGGAAATGGGGTTCATGGATCACGTGTGAATTTTGAGTGCTATCCCCTCGCACGTATTGGTTTTCTCCGGGAATGTCAAGTTTCCTCACAAATACAAAGAATCTTTGAGGAATTGACCAAATATAACAATGCAGTGCCCGCCTGAAATGAGAGTCTTTATACTCGGCGGGGCCTTCTAGCAGTGGTGGTGATAGCTCATTGGGGAACCTGAGAGACATAGGAAAGAGATAAAGCTAAATTATGGTAATGGCAATGTAGCAAAAATAGATATGTAAACATATAAATAGAGATGTAAACATAAAAATAGAGATGTAAACATATGAGAGAAAAGAGATGCAGACAAGATAGAGATTACAGATATTTTAATTTAAGATGATATGTGATGTACCCTTATTTTTCATTAATCAGGGTCCCTTGAATTATTTGAGGCCCTCAGCTTTTGCTTGTTTGTTTATGCCTAGCGCTGCCATTTACGGTACTCTCTGGATAAATAAAGGGCTTTTGTAAATATAACACTTCTTATATATTACCTGACCATTTCAAACGTTTGAGTGCACCGGTAAAATTAAGGAGATGCATCTTGTGTAATCCAGAATACCTGTAAGAAAATTTTATAATGCCAGGAGAAAATTATACATTTTTCAGATGTTGTGTCTTGTTGTGGGAGGGATTTCAATGATTAAAAAATAAATACCTCATGAACACGCATGCATCATGTTGAAATAACGGCGGGAAAAATAAATGACAGGTCTGGAGGGACATTTTAAAGCGAAGTGCTATGTTTTTTAAATATCAATGGGACAGGGAAAGGCAGCAACAAAATAAAATAGGGCAGAAAGTGGATAATCAACTACAGGCTGGTAATGTATGCGATGTGATATGAAAATGATAATCCCCAATTTTAGGATGGCCATGTCATCATCAATAAAAATTCTATTTTCTCCCAGAGCCGGATTTATATGTTTCAGACCAGTGGGCAGAGTCCTTAATCCGCTTCTTCACCTGAATGTAAATGCAGGCGTGTCGTTGAAGTCAATTTTTTTTTGTCATATCCAGCGACTGGCCCCATGTCACACGTCTGAATACGTTTTAAACCAGCAAAGGTGAAACTCATCCCAAGAGGGTTGATGATGATACCTGCAGTCGATAAAAATCCATGTAATCTAGGGCTTCAATTTAGACTCCACACTGTGGACCCATATCGAGTCACCCTTTTCTAGTGTTTTTTCCCCCTGCACTCCCTATACATCAGCTATTTGAAGCACGGCTATTGCCCAACATTGATAGCTTTTCTCGTAATTAAATCACACTCGGGTGTATTGATCAAACACCTGTGGTGGCTCCGACGGTTCTGGCCTTCACGTCACGGAACTCGCTTTATTTTCTGCTAAACATTGCGATGCTCGAGATGAACTCAAATAAAAACGCATCTCACAGAAAGCTAAATATTAAACGTAACGTTAATAAACATGAACGAGGCCCTTTTTTGCTTCAACACGATCAACATTGGACTTGTCAGCGTGGAGGGTCACAGCCCCTCCTCTGTAATAGAAACAAGTTTGATTGATGAAGTTCCTTGTTTTGGGTGTCTGCTGGCTACAATGATGTTTCAATCTTTTGATCAGCCTCCGAGCCCAATTGCCTGCACCGGGAGCCAGGCAAACACCAGCTGACATTTCATTACAGCCTCCTCCACTCTTATGAAGAAGCTTCATCCCCATGTGCAAACAGTTGCATTTGCGATTTCATTTCGAGTGTCTAAACCCAGGCGTGCGGGGGTTAGGTGGCATGTACTGCGGCTGGAATGCTTGAGCCCTCTCACTGGCAGAATTATAATAGTAAAATACTGGATTTTTATGTTTTGACGAAATTTTTAGCAAATATTTTGAAAACATCATCTTGAATTTGTTTAACTGTTTTGCTCTTTGTAGACAAACATGCCTTGCACATTTTTGTTTGTTAATGCAACATCACCGCAGGTACATATTCAATGTCAACCATGCAGGTTATATTGTGCATTTATAGAAATGTTGGGTGACATTTATATTTGCAAGTTTTAGACCGGAGCTTTCACTGCAATATTATAAAACATCTCTGTACAAGGGTATTAATGTTGATGGAATGATGCTCCCGTTGGCTGAACTCTTAAATCCCCAACGAAATCATTTCTTACTGGGGAAACAATAAATACCCAAAGGGGAAAAAACATCTAAACAAGTGTTGTGAGTCCAATTTGAAAAGGTACCGATATTGAAATAGAACCTCTGGTTAGGGAATGTTTGAAAAATCCTGGCAGATTGCTTGTTTTTTTTTTCTTTCTTTAAATGTCACACCTATAAGATGTGATCAAACAGATGGCAAGCATTACACCACACTTTCAGGAAACCTTTGGTAAAAGGGTTAATGTGAATCTATTGAGAAAAAAAAATTGCCTGTCCCTGCCGTGCCTTATCACCCAAGCATCAGGTCT